TTTGTTTGTCTGCTTATTCTATTCATCAGTGTTTTTGAACTAAGGAAAAAACGCTTTTTCCGTATTTTATTTCTGGGTTAAAAAATGAAAAATGAATGGACGCAAAAGTACATGGAGCAGGATTGATCTGATGAGACAGGTGAGGGCATTTAGAAGAGCTGTCTCAAGCTCTTGACTGCAGACAGATAGGATAGACATATCCTGTTCTACACTGACAGACCTGCAATGGGGCATTTGACCCTTTTTAGCAACATCATATGACCCCTTTATATATATATATATATATATATATATATATATATATATATATATATATATATATCATACAGTAAGTTACTTATCACAGTAGGTTCAGTATCAAGAACAGGATGGTTTAACATTAGAAATGTAAAGTACATAATAAAGAAAGCGCGCACAACATATAGTGTTATTATTTAAATTATAATAGATGATAAAATTGTGGAGTTTGTGTGTTGATTTTTCATCAGTGATATAATGCTGACTTATAACTGACTTGCAGTTAGTCAGATATCTGCTCGCTTCCACAACATTTTATACCAAACTTTAAATGCTATAAAGCTAAGCCGGTATGCATCACCATAATATAACATATTCAACTAAAGCATTCTTAAAATATTGCTTATTTGCATAATTGTACTTAAGACTGTGATTGCATCCAGTTAGCCTTTAGCTTGTAGCGGCTACTTTCATTGAGACAGAATGACAGTGAGTTAACAGTTTTACTACAGCACCTTCACAACACTCAGATTTACCTGTTAAAATGGTCCACGACACTCAGTAGCACCAAGGGATGAACGACGACCCTTTCGACCGCTAAGTCCGGCATTTTTACCCAATAAATCCGAATATTTCAAGAAACAATTATGCTTTCCTGTTGTTCAGCACGCCAGATTGACGCTGCGCCGCTTCTTCCGCTTCTGCTTCGTATGTGGGGCGCTTCAGCGTGAAACACACGAGCGCCCAGCGGCCTGGAGGAGGAATTACACCCTGACAATCTTTAATTGAAGTCAACGTTGTGTTTTAAATGCATAGTTTCTTGATCTAAAACCAAGATGAGCATTACAATATAACAATATCAATTTAGATATAATTAATGCACAATAACAAAAATATTCAATATGCTTTTATCGGTGAATGTAGAAACATTGTAATTGTTTTGATTACTTATAACGCTCATTTATAGACAAGATGGTGCTGTTTATCCTGTTTCTGTGGGAATTTTTTAGTGCTACGTTCATGCATAGGCATAGGCAGTATTTATTTAGTTAGTTAGTTAAATGGAAGTCCCAGTTATTATAGTAAGTTGATATATGTACTGACAAAATTAAAAAGTGTTAATTATTCCAGCATAATCTGTTTGTAAACAGAGGCAAATCATTTACTGTTGTGATATGAATCATCTCAGAATGACCTATGATAGATAAAATGATGGCAGGGCTATAAACACTAAGGTCCTTGACCTTTTGGAAATTTGTCAAATGTAATTTTAAAGTAATTGTGATACACAAATTGAGTGGACTTTGTGAGCATGACTAATACTGCTGTGGTAGCCTAGAGTAACCTGGTATTAATATGAAAGACAACTAACAACAAATCATAAGGAGATATATCTCACAACGTATTATAAAGGAGAGTTATTAATGATTCTTCAATGTAGCTTTTCTGATGATCTGTCAATTATTAAACAATTGTGATCATCAGATAATCTCACTTGTTCTTTTTCCATACTCAGGATATATAATGATACAATCCTGTAATACAATGAATTAATAATTCTTTATTAACAGCTGCTTACATCATCTCCTGGAGGCTTTTAAACTATAAAACTTTCACACATTTAAAGTTTGTTACAGTCAAACTCTATGATTTTTGTTTTACATTATTTGAATTTCAGTTGATTTTAAATGCTGTACTTCCTTACGTTCAAATTCGAAATTGGAATTCTGTTCCTCAAAAATTCCTCAAATCCAGGAATTGAATTGGGAGTTTAAAAGCATTCTTAATTCAGTTCTGACCAGCACACAACCCTGATATTAACGTTCATTGTGTGAGGACAATAGTGAGTCTATGCTGAACATGAATCATGTGTCAGTGTCAAACGGTCCTCACAGCTCGCGTTGTCTCTAGACAATAATGGTTTAATTTTTCCCAGGAACATCACTGACATGATGGCGTGATTCCTAGACACTGATTGGGCGCTTTGTTGAACACAAACACACAGGTTTGTTTTCTCACAAAGATCCTGAACATCTTCCACTAATATAGAATGTAGGATTTTGAGGTCCATCTTTTCTCACTGAGGACAACTGGGGGACTTACATGCAACTATTACAAAAGGTTCAAATGGTCACTGATTCAAAAGAATGTAGGATTTTGAGGTCCATCTTTTCTCACTGAGGACAACTGGGGGACTTACATGCAACTATTACAAAAGGTTCAAATGGTCACAGATTCAAAAGGTTCAACCCTCCCTTCTCTCCAAGAACTGTACTCATCCAGAGCGAGCAAAAGGGCTGGCAGAATCACTCTGGACCCCTCACATCCAGCACACTCCCTCTTTGAACTGTTGCCATCTGGTCGACGCTACAGAGCACTGAGCACCAGAACGACCAGGCACAGGAACAGTTTCTTCCCTCAGACAATCTAGCTCATGAACACTTGACAATAACTGTGGAACACACACTATTTATTCACTCATACACTTATTTATCTAACACACATACTCCGTCTACATTCCAATTTGCACATAATATACCTGTACATACAACTGTCTATTGTTATATACCTGTACATACAATTGTTGCTTTGTATATTTTTATTCCTTATTTACTTGTTCTATGTTTTATTTATTTATTTATTTTTTATCTGTGTTTTTTGTTCTGTCACTGTCATTCTGTTGCACTGTGGAGCTTCTGTCACGAAAACTAATTCCTCGTATGTGTAAACGTACCTGGCAATAAAGCTCATTCTGATTCTGATTCTGACGCTCCAGAAGAAAAACCAATGCATTATGAGCCTGCATGGAGAAGATAGTTTGAAGATCAGGGTAAATTGAACTTATTTTGTCTTCTGGAAACATGCAGGTATCTTCTGTAGCTTCTGAAGAGCAGTACTAAATGAAAGAAATGTGATATTTAGGCAAAATAAGAAAAATACACACATTTTCATTCTGTTCAAAAGTCTACACCCCTGGATCTTAATGCATCGTGTGGAGCATCGGTGACTGTTTGAACTTTTTGTATTAGTTGCATGAGTCCCTCAGTTTTTTACAACTTTCTTTGTGCAGACGTTCGATAATGAATTCCTTTGAACAAAATTAGAAATGTCAACCCAAATCACTTTGCAGTCAACACAATTACAAAATAAGAAGGTAATTGTAACCTTACAGGGATGACAAAAGGATCCCTCGGTGAAACACTGTCATTGAACTTTGCATGTTTATAGTTTACTGGATCACAGTAAAAAGACATTTCTACAACTTTTTTTGGACGGGAGAATTCCCCCCAGAATTCTTTCCAACATATTACTGAATTTTATTATTCTTTAACATTCAAAAACGTATCCAGGCAGGTAAAGTGATCTGAGCTCTATTAGCTAAGATTTAATCTAGCCTAATTAACTCAGTGTTATACAATTCTAACAAGACATCCAAATAAATAATTATTTAAAAATCGGGTTTACAATTTACATTTCAGATATAAATATTCAAAAATGCAATTTGACAAGAATATGGGAAAAAAATACAAAATGTCAATATTCCAATTAACTTGAACTCTTTGGCAAATTGCATCTTTCCATTTTTTACTATCAATACATTGGAGAGAATCCATATATAAATGAAAATCAACCATAAAAACCTTTAAACAAGGATTAGAATGATTTCTTCTACTTTTATGAATAGCCTATGAAATGTATTCAGCATAAAATTAACAGGTATACTTTTTGATTCAAAATAGGCTATATTAAACTCTAAAAAATGCTGGGTTAAATACAACCCAGTGCTGGGTAAAATAGGGACAAACCCAGCAATTGGGTTGTTTTGACCCAGCGGTTGAGTTACTACCCAGAAGGTTGGGTTAAACATTAAACATTTAACTCAACCGCTGGGTCAAAACAGCCCAATTGCTGGGTTTGTCTCTATTTTACCCAGCACTGGGTTGTATTTAACCCAGCATTTTTTAGAGTGTACATTTTTAAAACGGATTGGTAGTTATCTATTCTAAGATTTTATGCAATGAGATGCAACCAGCAAATCAAATATGGCTGATCTTATCTTGATCTCATGTGATGAATGACATTCATTACATAAGCGTAAAAGGCAAATAGATGTATAATTATATAAGCCTTTTGTTTTACCATACAAGTTTACAAATATTACATACGAATGACCACACATGCCTTTAACGATTTCACATATGAATATGTGTTTTTGGTTAAAACTCATGTAGAAAGCACTCTACATACAGAATAAATCTGTCAAAATAAGAAAGAGCCTATGCACCTCTAACAGGTTTTTCATTTAGAGAATTGTTGTTCTTTAGGATGCAAAGCAATGCTTACTACAGTTTTATATGCCTTACAACCCCCCTGATCGATTTTAAATCGCACCTTTTAAAATGCTCTTATTAGACTACAGACAACTGTTTCAAGAGTTTTTAAGTTTCCCAAATCCCATCATTTCAAAAGTGTCTGAACACGTCGTCAGAATAAAAACAAAGGCATCTTGTGAGGTCAAATCTCTCGGACGGTCAAGGATAAATCTCGCCAGAACTTTTCTGAATGGTAACACTCATTAAAAAATTGATGTACCGGTTTTTTCTGGTTGATCTAAACAAAATGAGCGGTTTTGGTCAATATCCATAAATTTGGACAGAGCAAGCTATGTGTTGTGAAGTGATGACGCGTGGAGAGTGGGCGTGGCCGCAGAGGAAACAGACAAACTAAACAGAGTGGCGCTCGCTGGCGGAGTGTTTACACACACACACACACCGCGTGCGCACACTACGAAGAGCACGGAGCGACGCAAACGCTTTATTTATGATATTCAGAAGTGTCACTGCCTGCTTTCTCTGCACCTGGCTTTCGTTCGGCCAAACTAAACCATGGCAGTTTGTTAGGAGCTGCACTTGAAGAGCAAGTCCGTGTCAGTTTCTTGGCGGATCCGAGGCACTGCGATGCCCTCAGACTTCACATCGCTCTTTAGCGCGGATATCGACCTCGATTCGCCCAAGTCCCTCTACTCCAAAGGTAACTCACTTTCTGCCCACTTTTCCAGCACGCTACTCATACTGTACATATGCTGCTCCGTGCAAGCGCAGGCTGTGTTCCAAAACCTAGTGCGCTGCCTACCTAGACAAAAATGCTGTCTAGGTAGTGCTCACTAGAAGTTGGGACGCAGCCCGTGTGTGACCGTCTGTGTAATGCCCCTCTGCACTGTCAAGCAGTTTTGTTTTTAGTTTACATAGTGGCTAATGGTTTAAATGGTGACCAAATAAATGAGCTTGTGTGGTATGGTGTGTGTGTGTGTGTGTGTGTGTGTGTGTGTGTGTGTGTGTGTGTGTGTGTGTGTGTGTGTGTGTGTGTGGGGGGGGGGGTGTGTATTCGACTCTCCAACA